TTACCTTGCGTCGATTACTTTGGAGGCGCTGTGCAGCAAGGCAGGGGGTGTGTGAGCTGGGAACGGGTAGCGATCTTTTGTTTTGGGTTGTTCTCGCAGCTGAGGACTGAGGAATAGGCAAGATATAACAGAGTTCTCTCCTGTTCTGTGTGTGTCTAAGTAGCTCTAAAGGAGACCGAGGCTGACGAAAGATATGTGTGTGTGTGTGTTTGAGACTGAGAGAAGCAGGACAACTAACCACTGGTGCTAGACCAGCACAGACAGGCGTTGGCTCACTCGATGGGCTTTCCAGCCAGATGGTGAACTGGCTGACTGGAAGCCTATCTGGTTGGCTTGCTGGCAGTCTGGCTGGCCCGGTGGCTCATTGGCTGTTTAGGTGGAAGAACTCTGCCTGGTAACGACAGAGCCAGTGAAAGAACAAGGAAAGCTGTGTTTTTCAACACGGTGGGGTTCTTTTCTTCTCTCTCTTTCCTCTCTTAATATCTGGTTCTGATCTTTTCTTTTTGCATTTTAGTATAAATGTATGCACAAATGGACAGAACCGTAGCATATATTTTGCATCTGATGAACAGCCATTACAGACTAAAACACTGTTAGATTACAATGGTGGAAAAGGCAGAATGGCATGTTGGCATTATTTCTACATGCAACATGAATCACTTTTTTCCTGCCAGAAGACACTGGTAACGTGCTGCCATGGAGCAATATGGTGGTGGGTGAAGTGCAGAGATATATTAGACAATATGATTCAGCTGAGACACATAATGTTACTGCTGTTAGATTTGCCATGGATTTCTTTATTTCTAAAACAGCACTGAGGTGGAGGGAAGAGGCGAGTTACCCTTTCCTTCCTGAGTATTAATCAGTACAGAGTTGCATTTCATCCTTTACATTTTTTTTATCCCATTGAAAGAGCTATAACCCCTGTGAATTATTATCAAGCCCAATATGAAAAAAAAAACCCACACACTCATACCTTACCAATCTCCAACTGCTCCACCAAAGCTGTCAATCCAGCAGGCACATCATCACAGAGCCCAGCCAGCCACCTGCAGACAGACTGCTCACCACCATGAGAGAAAGTGATGAAACACATTTCATAATGCTGTCCAATTTAAAAGCTCATCAGATCTACCTTGCTTGAGCCGATACAACGCAAAGTTATGGCATGTAGCTGGGTGTTGATGAGTGGATAATTCATTCAGATGTCCCATTGTTTCACAGCGTGCCACAACGTGTTGCATGTACTAATACTGGAGAATACTGCAAAACATGTTTTAAGCTTCTCAGGGGAAGTTTCCTCTGTTCTTGTGACTTCTGTCGACATATTTGTTAGAATTTAAGGCGCTTTGAGGAGAGCTGCTGCTAATGAGTCAAAACTCGTCTGAACTGCTGAGCAGTTGTTCAGATGGGTAGAACAGAAGTCATTCTGGACTACCATCCAATGCATGCTGAGTTGCAGTTCCCTGGTGGGCTAAATTAATGGATGGTTGAATGACTGGACTACAGACACCAGGTTTTAAGGAGCTCAACAAACCATGGTTCTTGCTTGATAAAAGCTGATAATACTTGATAATTCTGGACATTAGCTGAGGCACAGAGCACCTTATTCAACACAGGTTTCTGTTTTTAATTTGAATTCCAACTCAGGTTTACTGTACACATTTCTGCACTTATATCATATTATTATTATATTTTTCTATTTGTTTTGTGTATTTGTCTTATCATTGTACTGTTGTGTAAAGGGAGTCGGGCAAAGGAAGATTTTCATTGTATGGTATAAACCAGTGTGTTTTTTACTGTGCATAAGACAATAAACCGCTTGAAATGGGAAATCTGAAGCAGCAAGTAGCAGCAGCCCAGCTAGCAGGCCGGCTCATGTCCTCAGTTGTGCACTTCATATGGACAGTTATCACATAGAAAAGACATTTAAAAGTTCCTCCTGAATCCTGTAAATGCGATGGTCTGGGGAACCTGGAGAAAGATATGGGTTCACATAATAGGCTTTATTTAGTTGCTAATTGCTAGATATGCTGGGATGCTAGCTAACCTACCTGACTAGCAGTTAGCTGGCCTATTAAGTAGCTGGCTAGTAGCTACAATAAAAGAATCAATTTTTGAAGATTGAGCGTAATATAGTTGAAATTCCAATGGGCGTTTTAGTAACACATTTTTATAACCTACGCATGCTCTCTCATCTCAAAGTATCAACATATCCGTGTATGAAATAAATTCAATAATTGATTGAATTAATAGTGAGAATGACTCTGATGCATTGTTTCACATTAGCAACACATTTGTTCATACTGTCGTTTTATTCTTGTTGCAAAAAGCATAAATATTTCAGCATAACAATTTCAGAGAAAGTGTCAACTCAGTTGTTCATTTCTCTGCTCCTCAGTCTACAATTCAGCACTTATTTGGTCTGGATTATGTAATGAAAATACTGCAAAAAAACCCAAAGACTGTAGCTCATTCACACCTACCTTCGTTCTATTAAGCCTGCATTTCTCTTGTGTTTAAAAAGTTCCACATAATGGCAAACATACTTTTTCTTTGCAAAGACCAGGGAGTACTGTTGCTACTTCACCAGTCAACCGGGTGCTAAAATGACAAGAAAAGCAAATGTGAAAGAGAGTGGGAGAGTATTACCTACTGAAAGAGTCTGCACTTGATTGAACCAAGGCATTTTAGCACTCATGGATTTCAACAAGCACAGGAGGGCTGGACACATAGAAGGCCGGCCTCTTCAGGATGCTGCAGCTATGTCATACAACTTTTCAAAATAAAAGTTTTCAGAACCTGTAGTGATAGATGAGAATTGTAACATTTATATTTATTTAGTAAAGAGGAGTACTGTTGTATTCAGAATTTGTTTTCATAATTTTATAAGCAAGATTTTAATACTTTCCCTGTCTATACTGTGCTTTGTTTGTGTGGTTAGTTTTCCACTGGAGGTTTCAATGGCCTTCATTGCGTCTATTCCTCACTCGATTTTTGCTAATGTCTCAGCTGTGACATATACATTCATACATACATACATTTATTAACCTATAAATACCTAGGTAAACTAATGCAGTGTAATAAAACAGCCTTGCAATACATTGTACCTTCAGGAGGGTTATAATGTGTGTTTGTTGGAACTGTCGTAGAGAGGTGTTAATGGCAAAACATGATGTTGCGTGAGTGTGTATATGTTTTGCTTTTACCCAGCGTTTGAACAACCAAGATGAAGGCCATGTGCAGAAATAAATATGGCTGAATAAAGGACAAACTCTTCCAAAAGGTCAGTAGCATTGCCAAGTTATCATTCATATGTATAAACCAATAGAGAGTGCAGACGAGTTCATAGCATCTACAGGAATATTGTTAATGCCTGTCAAAATTTAGACCACATTTCCTACAAGTCAAACACAATCTTTGTGTCTTTGATCAAAGGTTTTCTATTTGTCTTTTCTGAGGAGGTTACGCATGTTGGAAATTATTTTTTTCCCACAGTTATTTCAGTTTTTCCACAATCTGCCATTTCGAGAAGAAGCTCTGAAAGCTGTTTGGCTCAGACAGTCTCTCTCTGTGCCATAGGATAATCCGTCTGGTTTCTGAACAAATCTGTCCTAGTGTCATACAATGTAAAATGCTGTGTAGACTTTAGCAAAAAAATCTTGGTTATGCTCACAGTAACTATAAAGCTTAGCCTACAGAATTTCTCAGGTTTAAATCTTGGTAGCACCTTTCACTGTCTAATTTACTGCACTATTACATGGATTTCCATTGGGAAAAAGTCATTGAATGAGATGAAAATATGCTGTACCAGTGAGAAAGTACAGATGTCAGTTCATATGCACCACCAAATTAGTCTAGTACCTGTGCCAGCCAGTGCACCAGGCGCTGTCATAGCAGTGTCACAGTTGTCATTATCACTCACCTTCATGCTTCAGGATGGCTAGCTGGGAAAATGTTTAGATGAAGTGTCAACGTTAGGTGAGTGTTCAATAGATACTGATTTTCCTGGAACTTCCATTGTCTTTCACCTTCACATTTGTCATTTGTCACCCTGACGGTGTCATCCTCAGCACAGAGGAGTTTCAAACCAATGAGTCCAAAACAGAAATGGCATGAAAAGCCACAGCAGGAGCTCCAACGTGTGAAAGGGTGACAATGACCTTCGACAAACAACACTGTCAACACATTACGATCAGCAGGGTAGTTGAGAAAGAGTGTGACAGGAGGTGTAAATGAGAAGCCCTATTAAACCAGTGCTGTGTGAGCATGGTGTGATGCCACTGCAAAGCTACAGATTCACATTTCTCTCAGCTGGGTTTGTATTGTGAATGAGGTATGCTGCATGTTTATGTGAATGCAAACTACTATGAACTGAGCTTAAGAAAAATTAGCTTCTTTCTTCCTATAGCTAAGGTGCACGTGTCATTATATCGAAATTGTCGAAGAATAAGTTGTTGACAAATGCAAAGCAATTTTAGCCTATAACATATTGTGTAATCTTTTCATCCACCTATTTCTCAATCAAAAGGAACAGCTGAATGTCTTTCAGAGAAAACGTCTACTTTATTTTTCTCACAATGGCAATTTCTTATTGTTTTCTTGTTGTAAGTGAAAAGCAAGTCAAAGAGCTTGAAGAAGAAACACATAATTTACTGCAGTAAGCAATGTGTTTAGTGGCTTATTTCTTAATTAGAGGGATGATACCTCCGTAAACAGTCAAAGCATCTAAATGTTTCAAATTGATTAAATGTTGATGGAAAAGATTTAACCCCATCAATCAGATCTGAGGTGAGATCGACAAGATTAATATTAAAATAAGGATACACTAAAAAGATTCTGAACTAATTAAGTAATGTTGTCAATTTTAAGCTTAGTTACTAACGGATGAAATATTGACACATGGGCTTAACACTGTGAAAATTACACTAAGCAGCTCACAGCTCACTTCACAGGGAGTGAATTAAGTTTCTACATTTTTGACAATCAAGACAATCAACTTTAAACAATAAAAATATCAATCTTTATTCTTCGAGATAGCATATTAAAGATAAAACCTTAATCTATGATACCATAACAAATTACACAAGAACTATACAACAGTAAACAAAGTGTAACCAAATAATGTATGTTGTGTAAAACATTTTTGTTGTGACCTAAAGAGGCAGAAAATACGCTTCCGATTTAGGAAATGGTTTCAATTTCGATGTAGCCTCTATAAAAATATTCGGTGCGTATGAATGCACACATTTTTCCACAAATATTAAAAAATATCAGTTGCATCATGTTACTGTATGGGTGTTGTTTAATGTTTCTTGGCATAAATTCTTGCTCTCAGTGGCAGTAAAACATTCCCCTCTGACAAAATGCTTTAGGCTTGCAATGTGAATGTAACTGTTCTGTTATCTATTGCCAGGATCAGTCGCGATTATTAATAATCGATGCACAAATATAGACCACCACATTTCCTTTGGTGCTTAGTTATAGTGCAACCTAGCCAACATGGTACAACATACTGTATGAATGCAGGCAACAAAAATCAAACACTGTCTACAGCTAGAAGATCACTGTTAAAGACCTGCGAAAAACCTCTGGAAGCCAACAGCTGGAATGAACGTTTAATTAAACTGATCACACTAAACATACACATAAATACCTATTCATAAATCAACTCTATATACTGTATGTGCTTCTCTTTAGAACAGAAAATTTGACTTTTATTTGGTTTACGAAAAAAATGGATAAAACAGCTGCATGGGACAACAGTTGCACAGATTCCTCCCATCTTATACAATAATATTAGAACATGAACAACAGCAATAAAAATACAATAATAAATGAGCGATGTAAAATGCAAGGTATGACTGTATTACACAACATTGGCATTATATGAGAAAGAGACAGGGTTGTTTGGCTAAAAGGGGTTTTAAAAACATAACACAATGGAAAAATGACAAGAGGACTTATTTTTCCAAAAGCTGCTCCACACTGCTACTGCTTTCTTTTTTTATTATTATTTTGCAGTGTGGAGGTGTCAACAATATCTTTACTTTCTCCATTATACTATAAACCTAATCTACCCTACTTAACCCTAGTATCTATACAAATCTATACACAACAACACAAAGCAGACCAGGCCAGTGGCACAAACAGTTATTCCTAGTTTAGAGCTATTCTAGTATCATCTGATATGCAGTACTTCATTTTGAATTATGATATTTCTCCTCATCTGGACAGGATTGCATAGTTAAACCTCTTGTCAACCCAAGATCTTGCAAAGGTATTCTGTATGCAATAGGCTTTTTCTCATAGTTTTCCATCATTGTGGTTGATTCTGATCAAAATCTCACACATTGTTTCACTGGTGATTTACTTACATTTTAGTTGCATGGCTACTGCGCTCCACTGCAGTCCTGACAGTCAGTGAAAGCTCTAAAAATAAACCTGGCAGCTCAAAGTTCAATAAGGAGACATATAGATTTACTTTTGTTTCTACCTGACAACTTTCATGACTTATTGTAAACAATCCTGAATGTAGATTGCATTGGGCACTCAGTCAGATGGAAAAAAAAACAAGCGAGTTCTGTACAGTATGTGGATCTGCAGGGAAGACAGGATTTTGCTCAGAGTTGCAACAATAAAAAAAAATAATGATGGAAAATATGGAAATTTACTTTGCATCCTGTGTCTTGTACTTTGCGGTTAGGTAGTTTTTTGGCAAGAAAAAGTCCTTCTAGGTAACAAAACTGGGCTTCACAGCATGAGTGTGTGTTTGTGGGGTTATGTAAACAGAATACATGTGGGAGTGTATGTTTTGTGCCTGGCTGTGTCCTGATATCATAAATTGGTGATTGGCTTCTCACAGGACTCTCTACATCTCGTGGGACAGGGCTTCGTGCTGAGCAGCCACCCCATTGGCCTGCAGGGCGCTGGGCTGCTCCTCAGGCTGACCGTTGGCCTTTGGTTGAACATCAGGATGGTCAGATGGGTGTGTGCTGAAATGGGCGTTGGATTCATTTAAACGGCGGACACGATACGTCTCATAGTGGATGCTGCCAGTGATGTCTTTGATGTTCTGCATGTGTGTCCTGAAAGAGAAAGACGACGGTGTTAGAAGTATTGCCTGTAGCACTTAACAGTACGTGCCTATAAATCAAATACGTGTCCTTGTGTTATTTTATATGTTTTAGCCCCGGTTTTTTTAGCCCGAAAGTGGGCGTCATGGCACAGGCCAAGGATGCTGCATGATTTGTTAATTTTATTTTATTACGTCTACAGTACATTTTAACTACACTTGGCTAATTGGCCTGCAGCTTTTTATGAATAGCTGTCCCACTGGAATGCCTCATTTGCAAGAAAAAGTTATCATACACTCTTCAAGCATGTAATAGAGCTAAATACAATAAATTAAAGATGTTGTGTAAAATGTAAAATAATTGCCATTTTAACATAGCCGTAGCAACACAAGACTTAGGAAAGGCCTATATTAGTTCATGAAATAGTGATGTTATTATATATATATATATATATATATATATATATATATTTATATTTATATTTATATTTATATTTAATATTTATATTTATATATATATATA